ATAGGCTTATCCGTAAATATGAGAAAATGAAAAACGAAAACTGTAATTTTAACAGTGTCTCATCGTTTTTTACCCTTTTTACTAATAACATTTCACCTTTCTGCAAAACCCTTTTCGACAGTTGATCGCCGCACTTAAAATTTACCGTGATGGAAATGGAGCTTTTCACCGGCGACCGGCGAGCCTTCCCCCAACACGTTGCTCCGTTTCCTGACTCTGTGGATTTAACTGCCGTGATTTGCTCGCCGGAGGATCCACTGATGAAGAGCCACCATCCAAATCTGCCGCCTCAGAAGCTGCGTCCAATCCGGTGCAACGTTAGGTCTCCGGCTTGCTCTCAACCAGAGGATCCGATCGAGTACGCTGAGGTAGTTGAGTTTCTGCACGATCAGCCTTGCCCGGTTAATGGAGAGTCCACCAACTACTTTTTCTCTCCGAACCCTCCGGTTAAAGCTGAGGCTGCTGAAATTGGCAGCGGAGGAAATGGGCCTGGTACGGACGGGGAGAATCGGGGGCCGGATTTTCAAGAAGGGGTTTTGGAGGAGTTGTCAAGGTAACTCTTTTATCTTTTTGCTGTAGGTAATCTGTTTATGTTCTTCCGCATTTTCCAGTATTTTTCCTTTTTCTTTATAAATATTTTTTGTGGAGAAAGGATTTCTTTTTCCCTTTGATTTTTAATGCAAATAGAAAATTGTGTTACGTTTGGAATGATGTTTGCAGACACATATAATTTGGTATTTGGGAGTCTAATGTTGTGTCTCTTTGCCAATTTTATGGTGTTAAGGGGTACTTGTTTGGTGTTAGGTTGGATTGGATTTATTAGTTAAACTTAGTGGAATTTTCTGCATTTTTAGTTCATCTTCGGAAAGTGATGAAGAAAATCATTCATCAGCAAGCATTAAAGAACCTGCAAACCTGAAAAGAAAGCGAAAAGCAAGAAAGATTGAGGTTTTCTTGGAAAATTTGGTTATGAAGGTGATGGAGAGGCAAGAGGAGATGCATAAGCAGTTGATAGAGGTGATTGAGAATAGAGAAAAAGAGAGAATTGAAAGAGAAGAAGTTTGGAGGCGACTAGAGATGGAAAGAATGAAAAGGGATGAGGAGGCAAGAATTCAAGATATGTCTCGTAACCTGGCTCTCGTTTCTTTTATCAGGAACTACTTGGGTAATGAGATTGAACTGCCTTTGTCATTACCATCTACATCTGTGCCATCAACAGTATCAAGCATGGAAGATAATGGAGGCAAAAATGGGAGTGAAGATCACATTCAAGGAGACATAAAGAGTAAGAGTGATCCAAGTTGTAGTTGGCAAGAAGCAAAAGTGCAGTCCAGTGGGGGTGGAAATCATGTTCAGAAAGATGTCATCAAATCTGATCCAAACAATAAAAGATGGCCGGAAGATGAAGTGCAGGCACTGATAATGCTTCGAAATGCTCTTGACAGTAAGTTGCGCGTTGCAGGCTCCAAGTGCTCCATATGGGATGAGATATCTAGTGGAATGCAAAGTATGGGCTATAGTCGGAGTGCAAAGAAATGTAAAGAGAAATGGGAAAACATCAATAAGTACTTCAGGAAGTCAATGGGAAGTGGCAAAAAGCGATTTGAAAACAGCAAGAGATGCACCTATTTTCAGGAATTGAGCATGCTCTACAGTGATGGACATTTGAGTGACGGAAATCCTTTGAATCATGCAAACAATAAGAATTAAGAGGTGGTGAACATTGAGAAAATGAGGATTGGTTTTAAGGACTCTGATGATCACTATGACCATAAAGCAGATGGTGTTTGCTGAATTTTGCAGGAACTTATCTCGTGATTTCTCTACCCATTTTCTGTTTGTTTCTGCATCATTTTTCTTTCGAGACATTCTTAAATTTGTCACAACTTCCAGGCACCGCTGAAAACAGGGCTTGTGTATAACAATGTCTTTACCATATTAGTTTCCATAAAATCAGATCAACACTGTTCTTTGCCTGCTATGCTCTTCGAAGAGCGCTATACAAATCGAAATTGCCTTAGTAATTAACTCAGAATTTCAACAACATATATGCGGAAATGTCACTGCAGGATGCAGTCGGTCATGAAAGCATTCTTGATAGATGTAGAATTCTTCTTTTAATATGAAATCGATACAGGAGATTCAATTCATTTGATCAAATCAGTAACAAGTAAACAGAAATGTGTACATCACTACAAAATTCTCACAACATATAAAAATAGAAGTTCAAAAATGTGATTACAAAAAAAAAAAAGAAGAGAAGAAAAGTTATTTGGAGGCATGAGAGAGGAAGATGAAAATGGCGATCAAGACCACAGCAAAGATGAGAAGAATGAGACCAGAAGGAGGTTGCACCGGTCCCATTCCCAGGGGAGCAAAAAACAGCACTGCTGCCACCACCAGCATTGCCACTACTGAACCGATGCCCCACCCACCTTCTTCCATTGTCGGTTCCACCACGAACAAGCTCTCAACAGCAAATACAGAAAGGCAAATTGCACGACTCTCAGAAGAATGGATAAAACCTATCAAGACGTATGCATATATATATAGAGTTTGCATGGTGTCTCTTGAGGAAGGGTCGCAACCATTGGTGTTGTATTCCCACATCAGACATGCCGTTTCGTGATTTTGGCCACGTAATGACGTGACCCCACAAGGGGAAGGTGATCCCACTTGGGAAAGGACACGTAGGATCGGAGGCCAACAGCCACGTCTGTTGTTATTTCTCCGAAAATGGAGAAGGGAATATTTATACAAGTGTGTTTAAGTTAAATTTATTGACTCAAAAAATCATTTTGTTAATGTTCTTCTATGGTCTGTATATATAAAGAAATTTTTTATTTTTTGATGTTTATATATATAAAGGAATTATATTCCCTACTTAAAAGGTGTTAGGATAACCTTATATGGACCGTATATATATTTTTAGTGAGGAATTTATGAAAAATTATTGAAAGATAATTTTTGAGTATAATTTATTTATATAATTTTATATGTTATTTAATAATTAATTTTTTTATTATACTATAACTTATAATATTATATATTTTTACCCATTATAATAAGTGAAAATTGTAAAAGAAAAAGTGGAAATAACTCATCTACATGTCATTACCTAAAATTTAATACCTAGTATTATATCCAATTAATGCCTTTCAATTAAGAGAAGTAGTCTGATACCAAATGACTTACTAACTATCCCTGTGAGGAACAGTGTCTAAACGTCAAAGTCTTGAGTTCTAATCCAAACAACTACCTTCTTCTCCCAATTTCCCCAGTGTCAAAAAAAAAAAAGAGAGTAAAATTTTCAGCTCAGAGTGGCTAAAAAAAAGAGCCAATGGGACAAAGTTGTCATTTAGAGTGTGTTTGGTATGCAATTTTCCTCAAAAAAAAGAAAAAAAGAAAAAAAAAATGACTTGACTTGATCTAGAAAATTAAATTTCTCAACATGTAAAAATAATCAATTACCTACTTTTATAAGCAATTATATTGTGTCTACGTTTATGTTTAAAAAAAAAAAAAAGAGTTTCCCAAGCCCAACTTGCTCGTTTTGTGTGTAGTTTTCTATATTCTTGTTTTAGAGAAACCACATACCAAACAATGCCTTAGCCTTTGGTTAAGAGCTAGTCTAAACTTAAAAAAATGGTTTCCTATACCATAAGTATGGTCGAATGCGAATGATGTGGCTTGGTATCTGAGCCCCATGGTGGTGCAAGATATATACCATGGTGTGCCAATATATCCCCTTCTTTTAGGGTAATTAGTAAGGACAACCAGCTCAACGCAGGTTGGTAGCACAATTCACAAATTTAAAAAAAATACTACATTTAATGTAATATTAAATAAAAAATAAATAAATGTATATAAGGTAATTAAACCCTCTGAGGCTAGTAGAAAACAAGCAATGATAGCGCCGTAACTAGTGTTTTCCCCTATTTTCGACATGCTTAATTCTTACGAGCTAAATGTCATTTCCCATAAAATAAAATAAAGGGCATTGTGTATCTCATTAATTGTAAAATGTGGAAAATGGAAGCAACGTTACAGAAACAGAGCAATCCGATTTAGTATGCAGCGAAGGATGTCAACAAGGTCCCACGGGAACGGAGAGGGAGTCATGCAGATGCAGCAGGGCAAGGTGTGAAGGGTGTTGGGTTGGGTCGCTGCCCTGCCCGCAAAGGGCTTAAAGTAATATGTCTCGTTTGCATCGTCGGTAAGCCACGTGGTTCCAACATTTTCAGCACTATAAATGTTGACACTTGCCAAGTGCTGCTAGTTCTCCGCTTCCTTCTTTTCTCTTTCTTTGTTTTTCTCCTCTTACTTTAATCAAAACGTTTGGTTTAGTCTCAAACTCGTCTGCGTCTGAGGAAAAAAGAAGGAGAGATATGGAACATGTAGCAGGCTTCCATGGTTACCGCAAACTCCCAAACACAAGCTCCGGTAATGTATTTACTATTTATACATCCTTGTGAAACTCACTTCTTGTTTTTGAACTCCTCTCTGTTTTTTGGTTTTATATATTATACAAGATGCTGTGCATTTTCTTGTGGTTTATTATGCTTTTTGGGACGATTTCTGTTTTTTAACCTTTTCAATTCAGTTAAGGGGTAGCTAACTTCTACCTTTCGAGTTAATTATCTCTTGCATGCAAATGAATCTTCCGTTTTAGCACTCTTCCATAGCTAGCTTTCATATTATTTGTGTGAGTGTGTAAATTCTATCTCCTTTGCATCTCTTTGTGGCTATAAAACAGTAGATAACCTCACACTTTTTGCTTGTGCCAAGTGCAAATTGTGTCATCACGCTACGATTTTTGAGTTTCTTGTGCTCTTTTCAGAAGCAAGTAGCGTAGAGAGCATCTGATTTTTACAAATCTTATGTTTGGAAATGAAAGCTTGTTTCTGAAGTGACATGCAGACAATCCTTGTGTTCTCTTCTTCTTCTTCTCTTCCAGCTGTTTGTTGTTCTGCTTTTGGGGTAAGAAAGATGATAGTGGAAACAAAAGGGGTGATGAAATTGTGAACACAAGCTGTTGTACAAGTGGCATGGAACATATGACCCCACAAGAACACGTGGCATCCATGCATTCTCTGCCTCTATGTCCTTTAAATTTCACGTTTTGAATTCAAATAGTACAACACTTCTCCCAAGTTTCAACACATGTGAATGACTAAATTTTGAAAAAAGTCCCCGCACTTTTCATCTTTTAAAATTCCATCATTATAATATACTTTAATTGTCATTGACTAATGAGTCAATGGCTCATTACAAATATGTAGTGCTACCCTTGTCTTCCATGTCATAAATTATGGTCCTTGTGAGTCTAATTAATACTCTCAACTATATGCTACGATTTGATTTGCCCATTTCTAGGCTCACTGATGTTATAAAACAAACTAAGGTTCTCATAGGCCAGGTCCATGTAACAGACTGTTTTATTATTTGCCTCAGGACTGAAACTATCGGAGATGAACAATGGGGTAGTACCGGAAATCAACCACTCCAACTCTGATGACAATGAGTGCACCGTTCGAGAACAAGACCGCTTCATGCCCATTGCCAATGTTATCCGAATCATGCGTAAGATTCTTCCTTCGCATGCAAAGATTTCTGATGATGCCAAGGAAACCATTCAAGAATGTGTGTCAGAGTACATTAGCTTCATCACTGGTGAAGCCAACGAGCGCTGCCAACGTGAGCAGCGTAAGACAATAACTGCGGAGGATGTGCTCTGGGCAATGAGCAAGCTGGGTTTTGATGACTATATTGAGCCTTTGACAATGTACCTCCATCGCTATCGTGAAATGGAGGGTGAGCGTGGTGCTATCAGAGGGGAGCCACTGCTGAAGAGGTCTGTGGACTATGGAGCACTAGGTGTTGCTGCTTTTGCACCTGCATTTCATGTGGGACATCAATATGGGTTCTTCGGGGCTGGAGGTATGGGAGGATATCTCAAGGATGCATCCACTCCCAATGCAGGGCCATCTCAGGCTACAGCAGTGGCAAATGGGGATGCATATGGCCAGCATAAATGAGATCAAAACAGAGAAAGATGGACTAATTTATCTAGAAGAGAGACTAACTTAGGAGTTCGAGGTTGGTGTTTTAAATCTTTCAATTTGCACTGGTAAACTTTTTATGTGTGTTTGTTGTGTTGGTGATGGTGTCATCAATACACCAGGGACCTATGCATTGCAAATTCAGTTAAGCTTTGCTGTTGGACTGAACTTGGATATGCCCATGTGCTTTTGCGTTTTCCTCTGTTTTCATTCAATTGGTTTCGCATTGTTACGACTTATGAACTCTAAATATTTCATAAAATCAAAAATATATCTTCCTACGTAAGTCAAACAATTCATATAAAGGTCTAGCATGCGTGAACCATCAAAAGAACATAGACATTGCAAAAACTTCAACTGAAGAATCAATTTATGTATTGTTTTTTCTTCTGGAAGCAGTCTATGTTATGGAACATAGGTAAAGATCAAAGCAAGACAGTATTAAGCCAAAACTAGTTACCAGAAGGAACTTCGATGCACTTCTTCTTCCTCTCAGATTCACCGTTCTTCTCCTCATTCACTTCCCTGTCCTCTGCTCGATATTCTTCTGAATCAGCTTCAGATCTTTTTCTCTGAGGAATAACTTGAAAGAAAGAAGTCTTCCAATCCTTAGTCTCAGAGAAACTGAGGAGTATCTCTATCACTTGGTTCACAGTCAGGACCTACATTTACATGAGTGGTAAGAGGTAACTAAGAGAAGCGAATTTGAATGAGTAGAATTTTGGAATCTTTGGATGTTTCAATTTCTCTTTTGGTTTAGGGGTTTGTTAGTATGGTTTGTAATCAAACTTGACAACAATATGCCACTACCTCATTAAGATGAATATGATGAAATCTATAGAAAAGATCAAATTACTAGAAGAGATGCAATTTTTCACTTATAATTACTAGAAGAGATATGCAATTTTGCACGTATAAGTGAAAATTTGTTAATATAATATTTCGGATTCTTTCTCTGAGGACTGTATTAGGACAAAGCTAGAGAGAGTTCTTGACAAGAACAAATACTCCAAAGAAAACGCAGTGAGCAGACAAAGATAACTGGTTTTGGCTTCTGAGTTATGAGCCCTCTAATGTGCGGGAATACATCCTCCCTACTCATTTTTAGGAAGATGAGGCCATCGAGCACCATATCATCAAATTACATTTTGTCCTAACAGCCACTGCAAGAAAGCAGCATCCAATGCCAAAACCATTAAGCATTTCATGCTCCAATATATTAATCCACATTTTCCCAAATTAGGAAGGCTTAACTCTAAAGCTATGCCCATTGGCAGCTTTTAATTGCAACATGTATCCAATAAATTTTTTTCAGTCTAATAGATGTAAGGTAATGAGAATGGACTCGAATGGAAAAAGTTAAAGGACACAACCACCTACTCTTTTCGCATGCAAAGTTCTATAGCATTGCACTCAAGCAGCTAGATTGACCATAATAAAAAGACCATCACATCACATACCTGAGAACTTGACATCTTCATGTAATTTCCTATTGGGAGCTTTGCCGTTTGGATTCCCTGCTCTTCTGCTTTCTTCATGGTTAACCCTTTCCATCTATTACGATCCACTAATCCACCAACAATATAAATTTTCTTAGGATCAAGCTCATCCAGCACAGTTTCGGAATCTGCTGTAAGATAGACCAGATTTTCCTTCTGATCCTGCAATGCTTCTATGTAAGATCTGTCTTCCTTCTCAATAATCCACTTGTCAAATCCTGGAAGCCTTCGCAATTGACTTCCCATATCCCCTTGGCATCCAGTCAACCAGAGGTGAGCAGGAGAAGCAGATCTCCCATTAACTGCATAACAATACATAATCTGCATATTTCATCAACACGAAAAAGGATATCATTAGTACATTAACAACAGGGGTCAACATAAAATTCAATCATTTCCTCTATGAAGATCAACAAATCATCAGCTTTATGTTCAATGAGTAATCTTCACTTTATGTCAGTTTTTCTCTTTTTGTTCTCACATTCTACATTTCATAACTCCTTTAAGTTTCAAACACCAAAAACTCAACAAGTTCCAACATTTATCCAAAAAAACAGCACCCTTTTACCTGTTGAACGAGGCTATGGATCTCACTTTCAGTCATGAGATGAGCGAATTCAAGATCAATAACGATATTTTGGCCATTTTCTTTGGCTTTTGTTAGTTTCTCGATCTTCCTCTCCCTCTCCTCCGACCTCTTCTCCATTCTCTCCTTTCTCATTTCTTTTCTCGACTCTATCAGCTTTTGCTTCTCCTCTTCGCTCAGGCTCGCCAGTTTTTCCTCCCATTCTTTCCGCTTCCTCTCCGCCTGTCTCTGTTTCTGTTCCTTGATGAGTGCCTTTTTCTCAGCCTTCTTGGCCTCGAACTTTTGTTGCTTTAGGATCTTCTTTTGAGCATTCTTGGAGAGAGGCTGGTTTCGTTTGGGGCTGCAATCGAGAGGAGTTTCGAGTGTTTTTTGGTCATTACAAGCGTCCTCCATTGTTGCCTCTTCGTATTGGGTTTAGGGTTTTGGTCGAGAGAATAGAGCGTGACAGATTGTTCTTGATGGCGAAAATTTTGAGCGATCCGAAATGACGCCGTTTTGTGCGATTAAACTTAATGGTAATTAAATTAAGGGGTTTTTTTTTTTTTTTTTAACATAGCTCAAAAATATAAAAACTAAATTTATTTTTAACATGTCAGGTGATAAGATTAAAATTAACTTTTATTTTTTTATAATAATTAATATACCTTTAATCATATATTTGGTATGAGAAAAATAAAGAGAGTATAGAAAAGAAATTTTTAATTAATTAAGTCATAATATTTTAAAATATTATAATCTTATTAGTCACAAAATCTTCTTCTTCTCTTCATTCCATTAACATTAAGTTAAATATACTATAAGGTGCATATTAGAAAAATTATTAAATTAAGTTGTTGATGTTAATTGTAATTATTCTGGTGGATTGCATTGTGTTGTAGGAGAGTTGGATTTCTATCTTGATTATCAAGGTTAAAGTTGTTGAAAATTATTGTGATTCTTATAAGAAAATTAGGGTAAATATATTAAAGTTTATAAATAAATTTTTTTTGGGTAATAACTCCAATATTTGAAAACCACATTAAATTTCAAAATTAATACTTTATTTAAGGGAAATCAAAATTTTTTCATTTAAACTAACAATTTATAAAGAAAATTAAAATAAGAGAAGTTCCTTCTCTTTTCCATTTTTTAAAAATAAAGAATCTTTTTTTTTCCACCTCTTTCCTCAAAATAAATACACTTTTATTGGGAATTTTTTTAGTTTAGTAAGGATGACTAGCTATAAAAATGAATGAGCAAAAAATAATTTTAGATTTTATTCAATTTTGGATCAATTGACCTTTTAAGAATGTCATTTGAATAATTATATAGTGATGTGGTTTAGTGCTATTATAAAGATAAATGTTAGTATTTGATAATTATTTTGAGAAAGTGTTACTTTTAGGGTGTTTTGAAAAAGTTTTATACCTTTATATAATTAATGAAATAATAATTTAAATTAATTTTCATTTTTAGAGTGTACTTCAAAGTATTGAGAACACTGTTATGTGGAAGGCCAAAATAAAAAATAAAAAAGGGAAAAGAGAAAGAAAACACCATGAGGGAGCAATCCACATCCAAACAAATCTTAAGTTTTTTAAGCCCACAGATAAGTTGTACCCAATGAGAACAATCCTGAAGTGAATGGGTTCCCATCCCCAAGCCCCCAACCCCTAGCGAGCCAGAACTACACTTCTGTACTTTTATAACCGCTTATCCCTTTATTTCTTTGGGTTTGCAATTTGCACCCATTTAATTTTTTCCACTCACACTCTTGTCCACATTTAGTTCACAATAGGTCATAGGATTTTTCATTAATCATAAATTAAAACAAAAAAAAAGGAGTTAAAATGCACACTAAAAAATTTGTTTGATATAAGGAAAAGGGATGAAAAATTATTATAGTTAATTAAATTATTTTATTGATTTGATAATTTTTTAAATTGGTAGAAATTAGGCCCTCCCTTTCCTTATCCTTCCCTTTCCTCTCTTTTTCCCAAAATAAATAAGTTATAAGTTTTTCAAATGGTATTTAAATGTAAGAGTTGTCAATATTTTAATTCAGATTGAAAAAAAAAAAAAAAAAGGCCATTTAAGTAGTGAAATTATCAAAATACCTATAACAAATTAATATAGGGAAAAGATTTATTGATACTTCATTAATTTTATAGTTAGAATTACATTTTTTTTTAAATGTTGAGGGTAAAACTCAAACTCCACACCTCCAATTTAATATGAGAAGGTATTTACAAATAGTTAGTACCCATTAGACCACAAGATTGTTTTTTAGAATTACATTTTTTTAATGTAGTAAAAACTAAAAAAATACAATTTTAAAAAATATAATTTAATTAAAAATTAGTATTGTCGTTACACATAACAAAACAGAGAAGTGAGTAAGGGACTAAAACTTAAAAATTATTTCTTGTGTGGTAAAAATAAAAATTAGGATAAAATAGAAGGTTTTCTTTGTAACTCAAGAGGCCCAAAAAGGAAATATCCTCCCAGGAGGGTCAGGGTGAGGTGAAGGAGAAGTCAGCATTTAGCAGAAATTTAACCTGCATTTAGAGCTCATTTCTTCGCGTTGCCGTTCGAAACACCCACGACCCCGCAAGGAGAGAGAAACAGAGCAACGAAAAAGTACAGAGCTTTTTTTTTTTTTAAAATAAAAAAAAAATCTTTTTTCCTGCGCCAATCTTCTTCTTCTCCTTCTTTACCATCTCCATGAGAGAGTAGTAGCTTCGTTCTAAGAAGGGAAACTACACGCCGTTTTCAGAATGGCACAGAAGATTCAGCAGCAGCTCAAGGAGGTGGGATCCAAGCTCGAGACCCTTCCGTCCTCCAAGGATGCCGTCCTCAAGCTCTTAAAGGCACGCATTCTTCTTAATTCTTCCTAATTCCTTTGAATTCTTTAAAGCTGCTTCGAAAATCTAGAAAATTTTTCTTGGTCCTTTTTAAGTTTGTTAGCTTCACAAGCTGGAGGAAAGTTGTACTTTTTCATTTCTTTTCTTCTTTACAATTGAGTTACTTAGTTCTGGTGCACAGATTAGTTGGGTTAGGGTTAGTATGAGATGGGATTTTTATCTAATGAAAATTTTAGGTTTTATTTTCTATTGGTTTCGAAGTGTAAAAGGTAGTATTTTGTTAAATTTCCCGCTTGGGAGAGATGAAATTCATTTGTTTACTGCGACTTTGAGGAAATTGGGCTTAAGTATAGTTGTTTCAGACATCTTTTGAACGTAAATATAACCCAGACTTTCATTATGTTTCTTGAAAATTGCAGGAATTTAGCTGGTTGGGTTAGGGTTAGGGTTCACTCCATTTCTAGGAAACAGTTATTCGGTCTCTGGAAAGTTGGGGGAAGTTTATAGCTTAGCTAATTAGGAAATAAGGGAACCAGGTATTAAAACTACTTGTGACTTAGAATATCTAGATTTATCTGGCTGGCCAGCCTAATGAAACTTCTTAGCAGTTTGGGGATTGTTTGAACTGTACATGTTACTTGAGTTTGAGTTTGGGCCTATGCTGCTGACTTGTCCTGCATGATAGTGCAACAATGGATTTCTTATGTGCTCCTTGTGCAGGATACGGATATAATCTCATCATTATGGATAAAGCTTTTTAGTCTATAGGATTTACTTTGTATTTGATGTCATTGTATTCTAATTCCTGTACTTGATAAGTGCAAGTGCAAAACATGTGGGAAATTTTTCTTGGATGACATTTAAATACTCATGATGCTGCTTATCACGTGCCTGGACTTGTAAACTTTTGTGTTCTATATCTGTTAAGTCAGTACATGTTTCTGTTATGTTTACATATTTGGCAAATATTTTCCTTTCGATCTGCAGCAAGCTGCTACATGTCTTTCAGAGCTTGATCAGTCACCACCATCAACAGTATTAGAATCAATGAAGCCTTTTCTTAATGCCATTGTCAAGCCTGAATTGTTGAAGCATCAAGATAAGGATGCTAAGCTTCTTGTTGCTACCTGTATATGTGAGATAACTCGCATCACTGCACCAGAAGCTCCTTACAGTGATGATGTTTTAAAGGTGAATTTCTTTTTATGAAAGTGCACTGTTTAGTATTTTTTTTGTTTTCATATAAGTGAATAAATTGTCTGTAAAACTGCTGTGAGATACTATGATTGATCTTGGGCCTCCTTGTAGGATGTTTTCCACTTGATTGTTGGCACTTTCAGCGGTTTGAGTGATACCAGTGGTCCATCATTTGGGAGGAGGGTTGGCATCTTGGAGACTCTTGCAAAATATAGGTCATGTGTGGTGATGTTGGATCTTGAATGTGATAATCTGGTGAATGAAATGTTCAGTACGTTTTTTGCTGTTGCCAGGTGTGTTTTTTTTTTTTTTTTTTTCCAAAGTTTATTTATTTATTTTAATTTAAAAAGTTAATAATATTTTTTATT